GATTGTAGTTTCTATTTATTCTGGCCATATCCCAGAAGCAATGAAATCATCAAGTCAGAGCCTTATTATTCCCAACTCACTTGCAGCTCCTTGGTCCAATCTTCCCTCAAGATTGCCCTCACAGCCTCAAACTCTTGATTTAAAATCTTAAAATTTGAGTGTAGAAGGTCACACTTCATCAATTTATTAGGGATGAACTTAACCCTTTCCAGAGAGGTGTAGTGTGTGCTAATTGCCTTGAGGAGTGACAAGTTTTGCTTCAGTTTTTTGCATTCTTGACACACGTTCAGTTTTTTTCCAGGACTGTTATAAAACTAAACAATAAAACTAAAAAAGGTGTTTGCACTTGAAGGAGTATATTCTTGTGGTAATATGATGCCTCTTGATGTACCAAGTAAATAGAGACTGAAGAGATTGGATATGTGATTGTAGCTGGCTTTTAGTAAGGTATTCTTTGCAAGTGGTTCCAAACATTTTGTGGAATAATTTTGGGCATGGTGGAGCACCATGATGAGAGCTGGGAGAGCCTTCTATGTAATTGAAAATTGTGAACTGAGCACGTGGTTTCTCCCAAGACATTTTGTTACAGCCAGCAAAGGGAAACTAATAAGATTTTTTTTGGATTGTAGCATTGGCATCTCTTGTTGAATGGCAGGAAAAGCATCATTCTTTCTCTTGAAGTAGGAATTTATTGGATTTGTTTTAGTTACACTGGCAGTACTGCTGCCACATTTTCCTATAAAAATAATTCAAGCTTGCAATTAGCAATTATCATTATGAGTGAGTGAAAAAGATGAAGAAGAATAAAATATTGAAAAACAAAATCGGAAAATCAGACAAGCAATACTTCAGCTGAAACTACCTTGAGCACTTGTCCAATCTGCCAAACTAGGGTGGGCCTCTGGTTTTTCAAGGTTTTATACTTTTCTCATAATTCAAAAATACACTCTACATGAGCACCTTTGGATGTCAAAAATGTAAAATATACCTTTCTTATGAGTATGTGTAAGGAATTTTTCCCCATTTGAAATACCTTTCCCATTTACCCACTTCTAGCAGAGGTCTACTCCAGGGTCTGTCCAGCTGAAATGCTCCTGATGTCTCCTTCATGTTGAGTCCTGCTGGTTTTGCTTTCTTTTTTTTTCTTTCTTCTTCTTAAGGTCCAAAGACACACCTTCAGATTTGAATGAGAAGATGTCTGTCTCTGTTCCATGAAAAAAACTTGGCCAGAAATCATGATGTGGTGCTCCTCATGATGGTGGAACTAGTTGACAACCAAGTGCCAGAGAGAGTCACTTGTGGGTTTTATCGCGACCATCCCGTTATGCGGAGCGTAAAAGGAGAACACGTATTGTACGGCACGAAAAGTACATCCGCCGGGACTCGAACCCGGGTCCTAAGCATGTCCATCTTGGGAAGCTCAGATGATAACCCCTACACTACGAATGTTGTTGAGTTAACGCGTCTGTCAATTTGATCAACTCCGAGTTGGGAGATAAGAGCAAACAAGAAATTCAAGCTCAGCCGTCCGCGGAGAATGTGGCAAGTAAATATGTCTCGAACAAACTCGTTCCCATGTTAGAATCCGTGGGTCAAGCTCTCATCCAAAAGCGACCCAACCTCAATAAGACGGTGGAAATGGAGAGCGAATCTTGACACGAGAAGAGACAGAGAAAAAAAAAACAGAGGCTGTGCGAGATCAGAGAGAGAGAGAAAGCATCCTCAGCGTGGTGAGGTATATGGTTGGGTTGTCGTGCGGGGGGGGG